GTCAGCCTTCCTGCTCGGCCTGCTGTGTTCATCCAGCTCTACACCTTGTTATCTCAGATTCTCCAGCAACTGCAGTTCCTACTATCTCTGAAACACTTTTTCAGTGCCAGGTTACCTGAAGCCCAGGACCTGCCCTCTGGAAGGTGACCACACAAGATTCCAGACAAGAATGCCAAGCCAAAAAGGTGAGCTGTCATTGCACTGAAATACAGCAGTCAGGGCCAGCCGTTGCTTCCTCAGCTTCTCGTCAGGATCATAAGACATAAAGCATTACGTTCTGACGTGTTGCTGATCACAGCTAAATTTCTTCCAGTTACCTTTGCAGGACAAGACCCAGCAGTCACAGATGTGAGCACTAAGGCCAGTGGCACTTGCTGAGATTGACACATACCCGATCTCAGGAGAGACGCAACAGTTACAACCAGGTGGCTTTTTTTAAAAAATAAATTATTTCACGAGATGTAGGCCTAAACAGCATTTACAGGGAGTCTTTGATTTACGAACACAATCTTGTGACAGGGATTTCACGGGACATGGGTGGTACTGGCTGGACCAGTATTTACAGGGGGTCCCCAATTTATGAACACAATCGCATACATGCTGAAACTTTACAGATCCAATATACAAACATTTCCTGATCTTCTGAGTGGCTCCTTCATATTGTGCTGCATTGTGTTCCAACTTGCGAACAGACTCCAGAACAGAACCCACTCGCATCTCAGGGACTGCCTACGCTGCCAATCCCAAACAGCCTACAGAGTTGATTGGAAATCCACCTTGCTGCAGGACTACAGTCATATATCCACCAGACCAGGTGGGGATGGCAGATTTACTCCCCTGAAAGGACGTAGGTGAACTAGATGGATTTTTATAATCATCGACAGTAGCTGCATGGTCACTACCCGCCTCTATCCCCCTCCGATCAGGTCAACATTTCCTTGAATTTAAAATTTCATCATCTACTATTGCTGGGATTGTAACTCATGTCTCCAGAATATTAACCTGGGTTTCTGGGTTATACTGTTACACCACCACCTTCCTAAAATAATCAAGCGTCAGGCAGGGGGCCTAAACTAGCACAAGGGTTCAAACCTCTAGGCACTCAGTATGCTGACCTTGACCGCCTCATCCAGGTATAGCATAAAGAAACTAGCACCAGCTGTCCTTCCCCATCATGGTTCCCCTGTCATTAGAGTATCCACATCCAGGGTAACAATCAAAGCCAAGTTCTCAAGGGCTCCTTGACCCAAACTGTTAACTCTGCTTTATCTCCCTGCTGATGCTGCCAGACCTGGCAAGTTTCTCCAGCAATTCTCGTTCAGCACATCAGCCAGGGTTTCTTTTTCTCGGGGGCGTGTGTGGTGGAAGTCACGGCTCTGTCAGTGGACCTACAATCCAAAAATCGGGTGAATTGGGAAGCATTTTGTCTACTTCTGTAAATCTGTGACTACTTTGGGAACAGAGTGGGACTCTGGGGCGTAACATTTGGAGGTGGGAGACGGCCTCTCTCGCCAACTTCTACTTGCTAGCTGAATCTCAGAAGGGCAGCAGGGTGCGCGCACTGGAGGCAAACAGAGGGGCACTCCTGCCAGAACAGGCCTGCGGCACGTACCTTTTCCATGGTGTGCTTGAGCGTACAGGGATCCTCAATGACGTGCCGGAAAAGCAATGTCACCAGCGGTGTGAAGCCGTTGAAGCCAGAGCCCTGCGTCAGGTTCAGGATCATGCGGGTGCTGCCCAGTTCTGCGAACATCAGGGCACACTTGTGCTCACGGGTCAGGCGCAGGCACAGCCGCAGGGTGGCGTGCAGCGTGTCGGGGTCCACCGGGACGCTGATCATGCTGACGCATGACCGGATTAGCACCGTCATCTGCTCTTCTGTCAGTCCCTGGATGACGATATCGTTTGCTTTAACTTCTTCACTAGGTTCCTTCTCTGCTGTGGCCTCGGGGACAGGCTCCACATCTTCAGCAGGAAAAAGAAACGCACAAAAATTAATGAGGGTCAGGGCTCTGGTGTCTCGAATCAGACATTCAAATTCTCACTCAACAGCTCCTCACCAGGAAGCCTCAGAAATTAAAAGAAAAGGGGACTTATTTGGCAGCTTTCACATCCTTATCAGTTTACAACCAATGAAGCAATCTGAAATGTAAAAGGCTAAAGATCAAATTGTCATAGTTTTACTGGACCATCGGGCTGCTCTCTCAGACAGCGCAAGCAAGACAGCAAGAGCAAGAAATGACTCATGGTTGTTTAACCGGAGGGTCAATGCACCTCCTCTAGTGTGCGTGTGCGTGTGCATGTGCGTGTCTCTGCCCCGTACATCCTGGGTGTGTGTGTCTGTCCGTTTGTCTTGCTCTCTGTGGCAGTTTCTGTAAAGGCCACATGTGTGTCCGTCTCTCTCTCTCAGGCAAGGGAAAGAGATTGAGAAGGATACTCCTTCGTGATGACCTTAGCCAGTGTGTGAATTGAACCCACCGCATCACAAACCAGCCGGCAAGCCAATGAAGCTAAGCGACCCCCCCAGTCTGAAATGTAGACACTGCCGTAATGTAGGAAAGGCAGCAGGTAATTTGGATCACTGACTATTTCAATGTGACCATCTCTCAATTGACTGAACTCCAGATGCTCCAACCCACACGACCTTTCCTCACAGGACACAAGGCTTCATCCCGAGAATCAGTTAACCGGACCACGGTGGCTCAGTGGTTAGCACTGCTGCCTCACAGCGCCAATGACCTGGGATTGATTCCAACCTCGGGCCACTGTCTGCGTGGAGTTTGCACATTCTCGCCCTGCCTGCTTGGGTTTCTCCTGGGCACACTGGCTCGTTCCCACAGTTCAAAGGTGTGCAGGTTAGATGGATTGGCCATGGGAAATTGCCCGTAGTGTCCAGGTGTAAATCAGGTGGATTAGACATGGGAAATGCAGGGTTACAGGGAAAGGGTAGGGGGATGGGTCTGGGTGGGATACTCTTTAGAGGGGCAGTGTGAACTTGTTGGGCCAAATGGCCTGTTTCCACACTGTAGGGCTTCTATGATTCTCTGAACTGCCTGCACAGTATTTATATCCTCTAACAGGTGGGTGCCCACCCCACATGTACTGCAATACTCACCAGGAGAAGATGAGGAGGAATTAGGAATGGGCAGTGAGACCCACATGTATTCATGGGACCAAAAAAAGTCAGAAGAATACTGACAATACCAACAGGACCCCAATCTAAATCAGAGCCCCCCCCCACCATCTTGACCCAACACAACACTCAGATGAAAATTAAGTAGTGCTGTGGACCCTGCTTTAAACCATCCTGAAATACAGAAGGTGTGCAGTCTTTCCAGGGCCCAGGCCATGATTCCAAAACAGGAACGGGCTTAGTGAGAGCTTCAGTGCTTTGAGCTACCAGTCCCACAATCCACTGGTCGCTCAATCAATTACACTCCTAATGACCGTCACCAACAGCTCTGAAGTGAACGAAAGCCTGTGCAGACACCGGTTGCCACAAGAAGGGAGGAACGAGCTTGATTCAGGGCCCATACCGTTGGCCTTCTCTTCCTTGGATTTGGCCTCTGGCTCAGGATCGGGCTCCTTCCCTTCTTCGAGGGTTTTCTCCAAGTCTTGCACAAACTGGGAGCTGCTGCTGCCCTTGCAGCTGGGCTCCTTCCGGGGCAGGCGCTGCAGGGTCAACATCACTGGCCGTCGGTTTCCAGTCTCCTCGTTCACCTGGAGGCGAAAAGAAAGATTAAAAACAGGTCTGGATACATGGACAACAGTGCTATGACCAAAGGTGACAGGCCCACGGCAGACGGGATATGGGCGCCTCTGGCTAGGCCAGCATAATCGCTCATCCCTAATTGGGAATAAACCCACCAATCGCAGGCAGTCAAAGGGTGTAGCGTCCATTAAATGGAGGTGTTGTTGGCGACTGACACACAGAATGTGCAATGCAGCAACAGGTTATTCACCCCCTTACTGGTTCACAGGGGTGTTAGTGCCCCATCCCCGACAGCATCTCTCCCACTAGACACCATGTTCTTCTATTGCCTTCTTCCTCGTGTTCATGTCCAGGTTCTCCCCGCCTCCCCAAAAGCGCCAACACGATTCACCTTGACCACTCAGAGGAAGTCCCACCTTCCCACCCCCATTGGATGAACATATGTATGAATTAGCAGCAGACTGTGACCAGGCATGAAGTTTGTAGCTGATCTGACCTTTTTTTTAAAAAATTCATTCACGGGATGTGGGCAGCACTGGCCACGCCAGCATTTATTGCCCATCCCAAATTACCCAGAGGGTAGTTAAGGTTCAACCACATTGCTGTGGGTCTGCAGGGAGGGGGCTCGGCGCTGTGGTTGCCATTAACAGCAAGCGGCACGAGTACGGCACGCCTCATTACCTGCACCATGGTGTTGAACTGCACGGTGTACCTCCTCCGGCCGGCTGTGAACCGCACGCTGGTTTCTCCTGCCCGCCAGGCTGCGTCAATGGTGCTGTTGTTGCTCGCGCTGTAACTGCACCAACGCCCAGATCGATCATCAAACCACCTCCAGTTATTCCCAGCTGGCTGCAGATACTTAGAGGAGAAACACAGCAGATTGTAATCTTGAGACTGGGACTATTGTTTCTCACCACCAACCACCACTCTCCGCCAATCATTAAAGACCACTCAATCCACACAACCCTGCAACATGCTTTCATCTACAGGGTCCCAACACCAACCAAAGGAGAAAATAAAGGATGATAATGCTCTAAGTGACTCAAACGGTTATGAACCAAGTGTTGATATGGGGTTGGGAATGGAGTTTTGACGTCATCCCTTGAGATTGTGGTAACACCAGAGAGATAACAAATCACAGAATTCCTACAGTGCGGAAGCAGGCCATTCAGCCCACCAAGTCCACACTGACCGTCCAAAGAGCATCCTACCTACCCACCTCCAAACCCTACCCCTGCATTTCTTCTGGCTACCACTCTTAACCTGCACATTCCTGGGCACTACGGGACAATTTAGCACGGCCAATCCATCCGGACTTGCACTTCCCTGGACACTATTTAGCGTGGTCAGTCCACCCTAACCTGCCCATCTTTGGTCTGTGGGAGGAAACCCACGCAGACACAGGGAGAATGGACATTCACACTCCACAGAGACAGTCGCTCCAGGGTGGAGTCGAACCCAGGTCCCTGGTGCTGAGAGGCAGCAGTGCTAACCCCTGAGCCACCGTGCCACCCCACGGCACATTTAAAATGGCCCCAAGGTGGCAGTGGCTGGCTGGGTTATTGAACACGCCGGCCATCAACTGCAATAGGGCAGACCGGGTACTGGGGGCATGGCACGTTCCCTTCTGTGAACTGCACCCCTGGCATTTACAAAGTCCAATCTGGTGGCTGTGACTGTTAATACTTCTTCCCCTGGGTGCCTGCACTGACACTATCGAGCTGGCTGCTTTGCTACCATTTTGTAAGAGGGAGCTGAAGAGTGGAAATAGAACGGGCTGGTGATGGAGGGAAATGCTCAGAATATGGACGAGCTCCAGGCAGCTCAGTGGCTCTGTCCCCATCACAGATGCAGCGGGATCACAAACAAGAGCCAAGCACAGCTAATTATTTGGCGCGATGTACTTTTTAAGCTGGATATCAATGGTTAAGCATGTGGAAATTTAATCAGGTCCAGCTCACGTACTGAAAATTCAGCAGTCACCTTGTTCATCTGCGCTCTCCTCTTGGAGGACACGGACATTTTCTCATAGAAATCGATCAGCAGCAGGACAGGAGTAATCCACCTGGGCAGAAGCGGGAATATAAAACGGGAGTTACATGTTAGGGCTCAGATTTAATGTACACAACACTGGCACGTTAGCACGACATGCTGGACCCCTGCAGCCACACAGAACTGTGTATGGCTCACCTCAAGCCTCAGAAGTAATGAACCAGCTTGGTCTCTGTCATGGACAGGAAGCTGAGCGGATATTCAGATCGGATAAAGGAGGAACCGATGATGCATACTGGCTCCTTTGAGCAAAGGAAACCTTTAAGCATTTACCAATTGACTTAATTTAATCCGTTTAAAAAGTGTGGATGAGCAACCACACTCACGAGTGGTCTGCAAAACCCATAAAATAATTGTGTTTTTGATTGTGGATGAAAATGGGACTGTGGAAAGAAGCAGTGCATTTTAAAAAGCAGGTTAGTAAAACACACTGCAAACCATGTTTATGCTGCTACTTTGTTGAAGCAGCAGGGGAGGCTGCTTGCAGACAGGTTGGCAGACGGGCAGGGGACGTGCACAAGTGAGATGTGGTTTGCAACAGGTTGCAAATTGGTTCTGGGGAGTTCTGACCAGTCGTAGATGACAAAGGCCGACAGCCTGACAAATCAGTAGCTGAACTGTGGATGTCAACAATAGTGGCAGAAGCTTTCAGACTGTTGCAAGGGGCGGATGTTGTGTCCAACAGCGAACACCTGAAGGAAGCCAGCTTACTTTCCCTTACCAGCTGCTGTAAGCAGAGGCCTTAAAGCAGCAACTAAGACACTTTGTGGTTGGCGTATCAACTGCCAGTGCCTCCTGTGAAGGAGCGAGCAATACCTGGCAAACAGAGGCTCCTAGGCCACTGAACAGCCTCCAACATCTTTTATTCCCTTCACTCGTAACACCAACATGTTTATGCCCGCTAGTGTCTGTGTGTTTATGTGCAGGTATGTCTTACAAGGGGGTTAGAGTTTGAAGTTGCAGCATTACATGTTAACAGTTCATAGTTGGTTACCAAATGCCTAAAGACTCACTTGGGCGTGTGCACTTCTTTCTGTTCCTTGGCTGCCTGAAGACAAGGCTGCGCCACCTCCAGCAGCTTGATCAGGACGTCCAGGATGCCACTCGTCTCTACAATCCTGGCACAGGTCAGCTTGAGCTCCTGGAAACAGAAACGCAAGCACAGAGTCAGGCAAACCAGACCCGGGGGTGGGGGGAACACCTTCATGAGGTAGTCAGGATCTTGGCACCTGACCACAATGCAGATGCCTTGCCCCTTCCAGAAGAGGAAGCCCATTCAGCCCATCCTAAATCAAGGTGGCCCGCACTATCGCAAATTGTTCGGATGTAATCTATCCACCTGACCCTCAAGACTACAACGAGGCACATTGTGCCCAGACATCTAACTCACTCGGGTGAATCATCAGCACTGAGTGGTCTGGCCAACTGACTCAACCCCTTCCATTGCGGATTTCCCTTCCGCCCTACTCCCCAGGACCCTCCTGCTTTGCTTCACCATCTGCACGCTACCCCACTCCCAGAAAAACCCTCCACACATCACCTCTGCCCCATGGAATCACCACCCCCCCAACAGAACCATATGGAGTGCATACCTCGAACAGGAGGGTAAGGAGAAGGATCCGGGTTGCGAGGTTGGAGGCCTGAGGTAGAGTGGCCATCTGGCTCGTCCATTCTGCCACCGTCTTGGTGTCGCTCGTGGTCAAGGGGAGCGCCGCTTTGATGAGAACGTTGGCAGCTTCCCACACCTGCTGGGACACACACAAACACAAACACTGACCCGCACTGCCAATGCAAGACGCACCACACAGCAGGAGGGGACGAGAAACAGGGGGATCCGAAGAGGAACACCACCAGCCAAGGGCTGTTTGCTGGTGCTGAAACGGGGGTAAGAGTTTCTTCTCCCCTAAAAAGGGACCGAGATCCGGAACGTACTGCCCAAAGCAGTGATGGGGAACAGACGCAACTCCAACCTTTGAGGGGAAGTCAATGAGTGAAAAAGGAAGGAGCAGGGCAGTGGGATTAACTCGGCAGCTCTCCGAAACAGCCACCTCTGCTTTCGGTCAGCATTGAACAACGCAAGTACCTCCAAGCAGGCGGAATAGTAATCCTCAATATAAACATAGTGCTGTCATTGCAACCACAGGCTTTGGCCTGTAGCTAACTACTTCACAATGGAACCATTAGAGATCCCGAGGGGACCTGACAGGGTGGCGGCTGAAGGGAAGCTTCCCCCTTGTGGGACAGGCTAGGGCCAAGGGAGACGCTGTAAAAATTATGGGTCTCCCGTTTAAGATGCAGATGAGGAGGATTTTTCTCCCCTCATGGGTTTGAATGCAGTTAGCCACCGACAGAACCTTAAAAACGGTCTCTCACCTGCTCAACGACCTGCTTGAGGATGAGGTCCCTGTAGTCAGCGCCGTTGCGTTTGACAGCAGTCATGATCAGGTCACAAACCCTGTACACTGTGTCCGGTAACTCGTCCAGCAGGTGGAAACAGCCTGGCAGCATCTTCTCTGTGAAGGTGTTCAGCTCGTCGGGCTCGAGGGGTGCCACATCCTGATACCTCTCCAGGCTCTTCACCTCCTCCTCCTCCTGCTTCTCGCGGGCCTTGCGTTCCTCCTCCTCCTTGCGACGGGCCGCTTCCTGGCAAAGTGCAGGCCAGTGCAGTCAGAGCCAGGTGGTAAACGCACCCGGGAAACCGTAGCCAGATGCGCCAATCCCACAACGCCAGGGTTAAAGCGACACACTATGGTCTGAACCATGCTGCCCAAAGGGGCGGTAGGAGGAGATTCAAAGGCAACTTTCGAAAGGAGAATTGGGTAAAATGCTTGAAGTGGAACCACTTCACAACTGTGCAGGGCAGGTCTGGAGCTATCTGGATAGTGCTGGAGAGGCAGCAAAGCGACCAGCTGTACAGCTCCTTGCACTGAAATACTGAAGCCCTGAGATGGGGGAGCAAAGATTCAAGTCCCCAACCAGGCAGCTGGTGCAATTTGAATTAATTAAGAAAACCCAAAATTAAAGGCAGTCTTGGCCATGGTGACCATGACTGGAAAACCCATCTGGTTCACTAACGTCCTTTCATAGAATCCCTACAGTGTGGAAGCAGGCCATTCTGCCCAGAGTCTACACCGACCCAGACACATCCCTCTGCCATATCCTTGTAACTCTGCGTTCCCAATGCCTAATCCACCTAGTCTCCACATCCCTGGACACTATGGGGCAATTTAGCATGGCCAATCCACCCTAACCTACACATCTTTGGACTGTGGAAGGAAACTGGAACACCCGGAGGGAACCCATGAAAACAACTGCCTGAGGGAGGAATCGATCCCAGGTCCCCAGCACTGAGAGGCAGCCGTGCTAACTACTGAGACACCGTACCATCCTATCCTTTAGAAATCTGTTACCCTGGCCTGGCCTAAACGTGACTCCAGACCCACCACAATGTGGGTGACCCTTTGAAATGGCCCGAGCAAGACACTCAGCCACAGGCAATTAGGGATGTGCATATCCTGCAGAAGAGTGAAGTTGCAGAACACAGGGGAACAGCTGATTTTTAAACGCCTTACCTCTGGTGACTCTGTACTCTGGTCCATGGGAATATCCTGCCCCAGGGACATGGCTATTGCCCTCATCATCTGATCCTCTTCAGACATACTGAGCTCCTGAAAAGATTTAGTGTCACATTCTCAGGCAGGAACAAACATCTTTCCAAGTCATGACATGTAGACTCCTCCTTTAAGCTAGAAACCTATAGTAATACATGTGATACGGGGCACGGGGCCAGAAGCAGAATCTGAGACAGTTTCAGGAAGGAATGAGTTGCTGCAGAGAATTGGCAACTGAGTGTGTTGCGTACATGGAGTTATAGGGACAGTCTCAAGACCACCAGCCTTAACCACCTGATACCGAGTAACACTCAGATTTACAACATATAAACTGGCATCATCCACATGCTTTCGCTCCCCCATACCTGTCAATATGATACCAGCCTGCAAATATAAGGCTCTGGGTATCAGACAACTGGCAGAGGTACAGACTGAAATCTATAGAGTAACCCATCAATTAAATTGCAGCCTGTAACTGACTTCCAGGCATCTGTCATTCTACATACAAATCCCTGGCCTGATCCTTTTGATAGAGCTTTAACTCCCCCAGGTATCTGTTATTCTGTACATAAACCACCCTGAACCCCCTCGGTTAGATTCCAGTCTAACTCACTCCCGGGGATGTTATTCTGTACATAAACCACCCTGAACCCCCTCAGTTAGATTCCAGTCTGTAACTCCCTCCCCGGGGGTATCTGTTATTCTGTATATAAACCCCCCCCGAACCCCTCGATTAGATTCCAGTCTGTAACTCACTCCCGGGGATCTGTTATTCTGTACATAAACCACCCTGAACCCCCTCGGTTAGACTGCAGCCTACCTGGTAAGACCATAAAAGGATCAGACTGAGACATCTCTGCCTTCCACAACCTCCCCACAATACCAAACCCCACACCACCCCACCCCCCCACCCCCCACCACTGCCAAAACCAACCATAAAGTGCCTGAATAAACTGTTACTTGCCCTCACGCGTACAGCTCCTCCCAGAAGTGGCGGAGGGTGCGTTAACAGGTACTCCGTGGCCTGCTCCATGCTGCTCGTGTTCAGCAAGGCCTCCATGGCATGCTCCCTTGTGAAACCCATGTCCATCAGCTGAAAAGCAAAGAAATAATTCAGTCTGGAGTTTGTAACCACAATCAGGAAGTTGCTACATTGCGCTGGTTAACAAACATAAGACTGCACGGCCACAACTGACCGGGTCACGCTTAGCGCCGCACACCAAAGTTCCCACACCACTCAATAATGACAACTGCTCCTGGGTTTTCCATCTCACGAAATCTAATAATCAGGGGTTTTGGTCCTAGTCCAGTTTGTTGGAGAAGTTGAGCACTGGAGGGAACCACTGGTGGTCCGTCGGGAGTTAGCGTGCTGCCCTCTGCTAACGTGCCTACCTACACAGAGTGGGCCATCCACCAACCACGCTGCATTTACACAGGGCCTGCAAGTGAGCAAAAGGGGCAACTAGGAAAGCCTCACGCTCAGCAAGCAGCACCTTGGGCCAGACGACAGGACCAGAACGCAAGAGGCTGCGACATCAGCACTTTCCATTCAACTGTCGGGAACCCATTGTGGCCACATCAGGCAATGCCAGTACCATACCCTCAGCAGTTCTGGGTAGACAGAGGCTGACAGGTACCAAAAGCAGGTAATGCATTTCTGGCTAAAGGGCATGAGCGTGGCCAAGAGAAAGGTTATTCAAAGACTCCAAACTGTCAAAAAGAATCAGTTTGAATTACAGTAGAAGTTTGGGGTGCGTGTCTGTGTGAATGCACGTGACAGTGTGTAAGTGAGAGTGCGTGAGGGGTAGGGGGTGAAATTTCAGTTGCGGTCATCCACAAGCCTACATACACTTTACCCAAGAAACTGTGGCTTTGAAATTCCCAGTGACTACCAGGGGATGCAAACTTGCTGAACGAGTTGGTCTTCTGGTTTCCAATTCATTGAACCCTTAGTGTTGAATGAGTCCATTCGCCCCTTCAGGTCCACATTGACCCTGTGCAGAGGATCCTACCCTATCCCTGTAACCTAGCATTTCCCATGTCTAATCCACCCAAACCTGCCAATCCCTGGACACTTCGGTGCAATTTAGCATGGCCAATCCATCCTGACCTGCACATAGGGGAAGCGATGGCCGAGTGGTATTATCACTGGGCTGTTAATCCAGACACCCAGATAACATTACGGGGACCAGGTTCTAATCCCACCATGGCAGATGGTGGAATTTGAATTCAATAAAAAAAAAATCTGGAATTAAGAATCTAATGATGACCACGAATCCATTACAGATTGTTGGAAAAACCCATCTGGTTCACTTATGTCCTTTATGGAGGGAAACTGCCATCCTTACCTGGTCTGGCCTACATGTGGCTCCAGACCCACAGCAATGTGTTTGACTCTAAACTGCCCTCTGGGCAATCAGGGATGGGCAATAAATGTTGCCTGGTCTGCAATGCCCTCATCGCGTTAATGAATTAACAAAAATAATCTTTAGACTGCAGGAGGAAACCAGAGCACTCGGAAGAAGCCCACACAGACACGGGGAGAATAGGCAGGCTCCAGACAGTCACCGAAGGTGGAATCAAACCGGCGTCCCTTGTGCTGTGAGGCAGCAGTGCCAATCACTGACGCACTGGGCTGCCACATCTTCTTTCCCTCTCTCCGACCCGACAGGTGCCAGAATGAGCAAGTGCAGCCCATTTCCCCTCCCCATTCCCGGTCCTCACCTGCTGAAGCTGCTGCTGGTTCACTTGCGGTTCACGCCTTGGTGCCGTGCCTTCTTCCTGGGGTCCTTCCTCCTCTGTCCTGCTGCCCTCTTTATCCTTGGACAAGCGTTCCCGGATCACCGGCTCGCCCCGCAGGATGTGGCACAGGATCGCCAGCATCGACTCGGCCATGCGGCCACCGTACACCTTCAGCGGCTTGCGGTTCCACAGATTCTTGATGCAGTTGAAGGCCGCCTGGGAAAACAGTTCAGAGAAGAGTGTGAGGCAGGTAGGCATGAGGACAGTACAAGAGGGGCTGGCACTAACTGTGAGAGACAGAGAGGGGGGCAGTTGAGCACAAAGAGACGCAGGCACAAAGAGCAGGCCAGATGGTGAGAGAGAGAACAAGACAGAAATTATAGAGAGGGGAGGTCAGATACAAACAGAGATGGGGTACAAGTTATACAAGTGATCCAGAGGACTAGGATTGGAGGGTTTGAGCTACTGGGAGTGGCTGAATAGGCTGGGGCTATTTTTCATGGAGGAAAAAGAGACTGAAAGGTAACCTTATAGAGGTTTATAAAATCAAAAGGGGCATGGATAGGGTGAATAGCCAAGATCTGTTCCCTAGGGAAGGGGAGTCCAGAACTAGAGGACCATAGGTTTAAGGTGAGAGGGGAAAGATTTGAGAGAGACCTCAGGAAACTTTTTCACACAGAGGGTGGTGTGCGTATGGAACGAGCTGCCAGAGGTGGAGCAGGCTGGTACAATGACAACATTTAAAAGGCATCTCAATGGGTACATGAATGGGAAGGGTTTAGAGGGATATGGGCCAAATGCTGGCAATGGGACTAGATTAATTTAAGATATCTGGTCGGCATGGACGAGTTGGACCAAAGGGTCTCTTTCTGTGCTATACATCTCTTATGACTTTATGACTATGACTAACTGCTGGATAGGGCATCACAAGCTTAGATCCAGTCTCCTACACAGCCAGGGGATGGAAGAGGAATAGCTAGTACAGTCCATTCAACTTGCCAAAAGCTGTTGCGGGTATTTATTTTGCACAAAAAGACGGGAAGGAACCATTCAGGAGAGAATGCAATGAGTTATGACCTGGAGTGTGTTTGCTGCAGGGTCAAAGGAAGCAGCTTCAACAGGAAATGTTCAAAAAATGGAGAACTGG